CCGTCGGTGTCGCGCGCCATTCATCACATCTCAACGCTAATAATGGAAGTTAAGGGCGGCGAAATAAGGGTCCCCAAAACTTCAAATGAGGTCTTGGAAGTTAAAAAGGGGTAATAAATAGAATTTTTAAAAAAGGTGAATTAAATTTATGTTATATCATTACTTTCAGCTTTTATACGGCATTTATGATTAAGGGAACGATCGGTGCTGTTGACTGCACGCACATAGGCATAGTCGCTTCATCATCAACAGACCCAAGTAACCCTCTATGTATGTATATGAACCGGAAAGGTTTCTACAGCATTAACGTAGAGGCTGTAAGTGTTACTATATATTTTTTTTTTTTACATACGGTAAATGATAGATAAAATTAAATTTCAAAGCAATTACAATTCTGTAAGAAATCTAATATATTGTTATACAAGTTTCTTTCTCGATAGGTATGTGATCATCGTTTGTTGTTCACGGCTATAAATGCAAGATTTCCAGGATCCTACCACGACTCCGGTATTTGGACTACATCCCCAACACGCCTTCATCTTCTAAGAACACATAGAAGCCAGTGCGATAATTGGTTGTTAGGGGACCAGGGTTACCCACTGGAACCATGGCTTCTAACTCCAGTGGCAGAGCCATCGAATGCAAAAGAAGTGACATTCAACATCCTACACGCAAAGGCTCGAAATTGCGTAGAAAGAGCTTTCGGTGTTCTGCAATCAAGATTTCGGTGCTTAGCAAAGCACCGTATTTTGCATTATTCCCATGAGAGAGCCGGGAATATTATATACACAACATTATTTTGAAACACGGCTCTGCTGCAGACCTTGGTTTCGAAGCTCTGGACGAATTTGAGGAGGATGTTGCTACTAACGAAGCTGCAGAAAATGCTAATTTGAGAGATGGTGCGAGAATTAGAGAAAGATATATATCTTCATTATAAGGTATGCATACCGGGTTTATTAATTAAGAATGTTACCAATACATTTAGTATTTTTCTATGCTCGTTTTTGCAGTTTAATAATTCAGCAACGATGTAACCGTACGTTTGCAGCCCTAAAGATTTTTGGTTTTAAGGTTTAGTTTTTCTTTTAATTTACATTTAAAACTTTCACCAAAATTTCAATTAATATTATCATTGTTAATATTTTTGTTATTATTATTATTACATTTTACTATTATTGTTATTACTATTACTATTAATTACTATTATTACTTACTATTATTATTAATTACTATTATTA